TTTTAAAAGGCACAACAGCATCCCACAAGAATGGATGGAATTTTCTTGTTAATTTCTGGCTAGGTTTGGAGCCTTTTTAGTAAAGCCATTTCAGATGCCGACTTTAAAAGGGGGGAGGTTGAGTGGTGTGTGCGGTTACTGCTCAATTCTGCTCAAATGATCTAAATTCTATGAAGCCATTTAAAAAGGGAGGAATGGCCAGAAAAGAGTGATATTCATTTACCACTGTTTTAAAAAATTTCCACAAATTCAGATTGGTAACGTAAAAAAAGAAATTCACAGGTCTGCAGATTTCATACCGGAAACAGGTTTCTCACATTTGAAAACTTTCTTGATGTAGGCTGCCATCCTCTGCTTGGGAATAAAATCCAGGGAATTTAATGGTGCTTGTGTCCAGTGTTCCCTCTAAGCTGAGTTAGTGTGAGCTAGCTCACATTTTTCTAGCCTCCAGCTCACACATTTTTGTCTCGGCTCAGGAAGGAGGGCTCCAGAGCAAACTAGGTTAAGCAGTAGTTGTGTCCAATGCTCCCTCTAAGCTGTGGAGTCTTGTGAGCAAAAATTCTACTTGGTGAGCTACTGGCATTAAAAGTTGTGAGCAAGCGATTTGGCTCCTGCATAAATTAGTTGGCTCTGGAGCTCCATCCCTTCCTAAGCGAAGAAAAAAATGTGTGAGCTGGGGGCTGAAAAACTGAGCTAGCTCACACTAACTCATCTTAGAGGGAACACTGCGTTGTGTCCAAGTTTTTTTTTAAAGGCACAGAATCTGGCGGTTCCGTTTCCCCCAGTGAAGCCATCCGGGCACACCAGAATCTGCAACAGGTACAGAGCAAGAGCGGAGGGCCATCAGACAGCAGAGAGTGTGGGCGTGGGGGGGTGAGCACAGCAATGGCCGCATACAAAGACCTGCACATTAATTTTGATCTCCCCCCCCCCATTTGGTCTGAGATCTTTCACTCACCTTTGTTCAAATCTGGGTCAACTGAAGTAAATAGAACTAACTTCCATTTTTAAAAAAATGAAATTACATGAAATTTAGTGCTGCTGAAAGACATTCAAAAGTTATTTCCCAAAAATATCTTTTAAAACTTCTCGGTAGCGCTAGAACAGCTAAAATGGCAGGCAGAAAAAGAGCACCTGGACTTCTTCCTCCCAGATACGTGAAAAAAACCCAGGACATAAATATACCTTCTCTGTACCACACTCGTTCAGGAATACCTTTTGGTCAAATAAAATTTAAGCTCTTCTGAAACATAAATAACTATTCTAAATCTTGAAAAAGCCGAATCCCTAATATCTCACCAAAAACTCTTCTCCATGGGGTGGGTTCACTGTTCTTTCTTTCTGTCTCTCAAAAGATCCATCTCTTTGCAAATTCAAACTGCTTGATTCGACTGAGGGAGAGGATTCACAGAATTTGTTTGACGGCTGTTGCTTAAAAAAAAAGAAAAGCCCAAACTGATCGTGCAAAGAACAAGTCTTGTTTAATAAAGGAAATGTAGTTTTAAAAAGGCACCTTTTGTACAAAACTTTTAGGAAAAATATAAATGTACAAATGGAACAAAGAGAACTCTGCAGCTTAAGGCAGGAAAATTGTTCTTGGAGGTCAGGATTCTTTAGGGGAAATACGTCCTACATAGATCCTCACTACCAGGCCCAAATCTCAGCAAAGGGGGGGGGCTCCCAGCTTCTCTTCCCCATTTCTTTGGGATTACAGAAAATCCCTTGCAAAGATTCCAAAGTGGAGAGGGAAAATTAAAGGAGACGTGAGAAATCTTCCTGGAGCTAGACCAGTATCTGTGGTCTTCAAAGGGCGGGAGTTCTGAGCGATGGAGGGAGTGATTACAAACCTGGCTCTTATGAAAAGTTCAAGCAAAAAATGTCCTATTAAGGGCCAAGCCAAACAGCACACCGTCCTCCGGGCTCCACAGAGAGGGGAGGGGAGGGCAAGAAGGAAGGGGGGGAGAAGAGCATCCAGGGGGGGGGGAGGGGGGAAAACACTTTCCTTTTCCTGACTCTCTCTCCATAAGTTTCGGGATCATCGCCGGCGTTCTCTCTCGCTCTCTTAAATAGAAATATATAATTAAAAATTTACAAATACTATTTACAGTTTTAATTACAAAAAGTCACCCTTCAATAGTTAATTAAAAAAAAAACGGTCTACAGGTAAAAAAAAATTTAGTTTTTTGTTTGAATGAGAGTTTTAAATACTTGGGGGGTTTGTCTCTCCAAGACGGCCTGTGGGGTTTTGTCTCTGATTGTCAGGACGAGAGGAGGAAGGCCCCGGCAGCCCGGCCGGTGGCAGAGCGGCTTCCCCAGACGACAGCCCTTCTCTCCCTCCTTTTCCAGAGCTCCAGCCAGGAGGTGTGTGTGTGTTTTTTGGGGGGGCTTTGTGTGCTGGGGGGCGCTTCCCCCCACCCCCGCCTCGGCGCCAGCTCCCCCCTGTGCTGGCCTCTTCTTCCTCCTCCTCCTCTTCCTCCTCACACGGTGGTCTCCCCGTGCTTGCTGTTGGTGAGGCGGGTGTAGAACTTCCTCCAGGAGTGGAGGGTCTTGCCGGACCAGATCCAGAAGCCGGAGGTGATGCCGACGATGAGGGTCATGAGGTACTTGATCATGTAGACGGTGAAGTCGGGGCTCATGCGGGGGGTGTACTGGAGCGGGCAGGGGATGGCCAGGCTCTTGCAGTGCTGGCTGACCCAGCTGCGCTCCCAGTGCTGGCGGAAGGCCTGCTCGTAGAAGTAGCAGGCGATGACGATGGTGGCGGGGACGGTGTAGAGGACGGAGAAGACGCCGATGCGGACCATCAGGCGCTCCAGCTTCTCGGTCTTGGTGCCGCCGTGCTTCATGATGGTGCGGATGCGGAAGAGGGAGACGAAGCCGGCCAGGAGGAAGGAGGTGCCGATGAAGAGGTAGACGAAGAGCGGGGCCAGGACGAAGCCCCGCAGCGGGTCCAGGCCGTTGAGGCCGACGAAGCAGACGCCGCTGAGGAGGTCGCCGTCGATCTGGCCCAGGGCCAGGATGGTGATGGTCTTGACGGCCGGGACGGCCCAGGCGGCCAGGTGGAAGTACTGCGAGTTGGCCTCGATGGCCTCGTGGCCCCACTTCATGCCGGCGGCCAGGAACCAGGTGAGGGAGAGGACGACCCACCAGATGGAGCTGGCCATGCTGAAGAAGTAGAGCATCATGAAGAGGATGGTGCAGCCCTCCTGCTTGGTGCCCTGCACGACGGTGCGGAAGCCGTCCTCGGCGAAGCGCTCGTTGCAGGCGGCGCGCTCCCCGAGGACGAAGCCGGCGATGTAGGCCACCGAGACCATGGTGTAGCAGCCCGAGAGGAAGACGATGGGCCGCTCCGGGTAGCGGAAGCGCTGCATGTCCACCAGGTAGGTGGCCACGGTGAAGAAGGTGGAGGCGCAGCAGAGGGCCGACCAGACCAGGACCCAGAGGCGGGCGAAGCGCAGCTCCTCGGCGCTGAAGAAGAGGTGGCCCTCGGGCCGGCCCGGCTCGCAGGGCCACCCACAGTCTCTTCTGACCCCTGGAAAGATTATTTCTTGTGTTGCCAGATCCACATATATGATATCTGTCTGGGTTGGGGAGCTGAAGTGAGGAGGGGAAATGAGGTAAAATGTCCCCTCCTTACTCCTCCATCAGCATAGCTCCACTGATCTCATGATCTCATCATTCACCCCCATCTTACTGCATCCCTTTTGACACGTGCGGTTATTCCTGTTTGTCAGCTTTGCAACCCTGGAATAATTCTTCAAAGAAAGAAAGACAGACAGACCAAGGTTACAAGATCAAATGGATATACAAACTGTCCACTAAAAGTGTAGATTATACATTTTCTTTTGGTTTTATACCATTAAAGGAATAACGTTTAGGACCAATAGCCATAGAAAAGTTAATAGTAGTGTTGCCAAGCAGCCGCTTTATAAAGCATTTCTAAAGATTCTTAAATATGACCGCAAAGCTGGACTGTGAAATAAGTCAGTCACGGTCATGGACAGGACTGTAGCCGTAAACCAGTTTGAACTGCCTTGCCTGGGTGCCCCACAGTTGCGGGGAGCCCAGTCAAGCCGGCGAGGGAAGGCACAGGGAGGCATTTAAATGCCTCCCCGATCCTTCCAGGGGTCCCCCTGACCTGCCCGCCTCGGAGTCGCCAGCGGGGGGGTCGCTCTCCAGACCTTCCCTCTGTAACGCGGCACGCAGAGGTTTTGGCTGTAGTGGGTGTGGCCAACTCTGAAGCCAGCCGGAACTCCGTTCCTGTGCGTTCCTGCCCAAAAATAGCCCTGCAGCTGCTGGTGTGACCTTGGGTCAGTCATAAGTTCTTTCAGAGCTGTTCTCTTGAGGCAGTTCTTGAAAGAGCTCTCTCAGCTCACCTACCTCACAGGATGTCCGTTATGGGGAGGGGAAGGGAAAGGGATCGTAAACTGCTCTGAGACTCCTTCGGGCAGTGAAGGGCAGGGTATAAATCCAACCTCAGAAGAAGAAGAGATTGGATTTATACCGCGCCCTTCACTACTTGAAGGAGTCTCAGAGCAGCAGCAGCAGCTTGCAATCTTCTTTTAAACAAGCTGGGGATGAAGGCTTTGCATTTTTATAAAGTCCTCCACCCCTAACCGTCTCTCAACTTTTCCCCTCCCTCCCTCCCTCCCTCCCCGGCAGGCCTGTGGCTGTTTTTAAAGAGGAACAATTTACTTTGGAGGATGGGGCTCGTTCCCCGGCAGCCCCGCGCCCCAGATTGACAGGCAGGGCGCCACGCCGGGGGGGGCCCCACCAGACCACCACCCCTAGCCATCCTGAGCAAAGACAAAACTGTGTGAGCTGGAGGCTAAAAAAAATTGTGAGCTAGCTCACACGAACTCAGCTTAGAGGGAACACTGGTCACCACCCTGTGTGAGATGGAGGCTAAAAAAACCTGTGAGCTAGCTCACACGAACTCAGCTTAGAGGGAACACTGGTCACCACCCCTGAGCAAAGACAAAACTGTGTGAGCTGGAGGCTAAAAAAACCCGTGAGCTAGCTCACACGAACTCTAAGCTAGCTCACAGGTTTTTTTAGCCTCCAGCTCACACGGTTTTGTCTTTGCTCAGGATGGCTGGCTCCGGAGCAAAGGAATTTATGCGGCAGCCAAATGGCTCGCTCACAGCTTTCATGCCAGCAGCTCACAAAGTAGAAATTTCTGCTCACAAGATCCCACAGCTTAGAGGGAACATTGGTGGTGACCAGACTCCCCACCCTCCCCCGGTAGCCGGGAGCGCAAGACGCCGCCTCTCCCGGCTGGAGGCGCGGGACGGGGCAACTGGCCGGCAGGGATCCCCCCATGGAGAGCTTCCCCAGTGTGTCCCCCCCAACTCCACTCATCTTCGTGTCTGGCTGGCCTTTGTGGGTAAACCCAATTGGGGGGTTGGGGCAAGTGTAAGATAGGTCCATCCCCCCTCTTCTTTAGTGGTCGAGTCTAAGAGCCAGAGGGGAGGGGGCTCGAGTCTGGGGGGGGATCCCTCCCCCCTGCCAGGGAAGCCACGCCCACCAACCACAGGTCTTATGGGGAATGGTCTGAGCAGACTGACCTGCTGCAGCTCCTCCAATTGGGAGGGGTTTTCTCTCACAGCCGATGGGGTCACTGTGCTGGACTGAAGCAGCAGGGAAAAAGTTCCGACGCAATGTTCCCTCTAAGCTGTGGAGTCTTGAGAGCAAAAAATCGACTTTGTGAGCGACCGGCATTAAAGCTGTGAGCGAGCCATTTGGCTGCTGCGTTAATTAGTTTGCTCTGAAGCTGTCCTTCCTGAGCTGAGATAAAAATGTGTGAGCCGGAGGCTAAAAAACTGTGAGCTGGCTCACACCAACTCAGCTTAGAGGGAACACTGGTTCCGAGTCCAACAAAGTCTTACAGCTGCCTCTGGACCCAAGCTTTTTTCACCTAGAATCATCGAGGTGGAAGGGACCTCCAAGGTCATCCAGTCCAACCCGCTGCACAATGCAGGAAATTCACAAATACCCTCCCCCACACACACACCGGCAGTGACTCCTGCTCCATGCCCTGATGGGGGGTGGGAACCTTCCAGGATCCCCGGCCACACTGGCCTGGAGAAAAATTGTTTCCTGACCCCAAAGTGGCCATCAGCATTTCCCTGGGCATGTAAGAAAGGGGCCACAAGAACTAAGCACTGAGGCCACCCTTCCTGCCCTCCCTCTCAGGATCTGCCTCAGTTCACAGAATCCGCATTGCTGTCAGGAGGCCATCTAGCCTCTGCTTGAAAACTTCTCTTTGGAGAAGGAGAGCCCACCACCTCCCAAGGAAGCCCATTCCACTGAGGAACCGCTCTCAGGAAGTTCCTAATGTTTAGCCAAAAACTCTCCTGATTTAATTCCAACCTGTCAGTTCCGGTTCGACCTTCTGAGGCTATGGAAAACAACTCTGCACTATTCTCTGCAGGACAGTCCTTCAAGTACTTGAGGATAGTGATCGTGTCACCTCTCAGTCGTCTCCTCTCCAGGATACACCCACCTTTCCTCACACGACTTGGTCTCCAGACCCCTCACCACCTGATGAACTAGTGGTCCTTAGAGATGGAAAGTGGGAGAGGCTTTACTTATATTTTAAGACTGTGTGGCTACTGCGGTGGCTCAAGTGGTTAAGACGCTAAACTGCAGGCTGTGGAAGGTCAGTAGTTCAGCAGTTCGAGACCCGAGTGTGCCGCATGACGGAGTGAGCTCCCGTCTCTAGTTCCAGCTCCTGCCAACCTAGCAGTTCGAAAGCAAGAAATTGCAAGTAGATAAATAGGTACCACTTTGGTGGGAAGGTAACAGCGTTCCGTGCGCCTTGGTGTTTAGTCATGCCGGCCACGTGACCACAGAAACGTCTTCGGACAGCGCTGGCTCTTCGGCTTGGAAATGGAGATGAGCACCGCAACCCTAGAGTCAGATTTGACTGGCTTTCGAGCAAGGGACACCTTTACCTATGGCTACTATGCAGGTGTGAAGCTTCTTGGTGCAGAACTTGAGACAAGGTTTAAGAGAGCCATTCAGGGGCTTGTATTGTGTATAAGCAAAGGATTTCGATCGAGGAGGAGGAGAAGAAGAGATTGGATTCATACCCCGCCATTCACTACTGGAAGTCATCTCAGAGCGGCTTACCATCTCTTTTCCCTTCCCCTCCCCACAACGGACACCCTGTGAGGCAGGCGGGACTGAGAGAGCTCTTTCGAGGACTGCTCTTGAGAGAACAGCTCTGAGAGAACTTGTGACTGACCCAGGGTCACACCAGGAGCTGCACGTGGAGGAGCAGGGAATCAAACCTGGTCCTCACAGATTAGAGTCCGCATCCCTAACCACTACACCAAACAGGCTCTCACCAGTTTGCCTGACGATCATGTTGATGGAGGAGGAGGGCTTCGGTTGGCCTCTGGAGCCCCAGGGAGTGGGTCGTCCTCCTTTGGGGCAGGTTGCTGGATTTGGTGGTATCGGAAGGAACAGAATGGGGCCCTGTGGATCTCTAGCATTCGGTGTGCAAAACCGCTGGGCTACAGCCTCGTGAAGCTGAAGGACCGGTGAGCGTGGCCCTGTTTTAGCCCTTGTTGATTTGATAAGCTCTTGTGGGTTAATGTGGCCTGATACGATCAAACGCGAAGGGGAAGGATATGGGCTCAAGTCTGTGCTCTGTGTGGCTCTCAACCGGTCACTAGCCGGCATGGTGTAGTGGTGAAGAGCAGCGGACTCTAATCTGGAGGGCCAGGTTTGATTCCCCACTCCCAGGGCCAGTTCACCCGCTAGGTGAACTTGGCGTTTGCCTAGAGCACTGGGCCCTGGATGGGGTGGGCGGCAGGCCCTGGATGGGGCGCCAAAGTTCGCCTCCCCCCCAAAAGCCCACGTGCCGCCTAAGTGCACCTCCGAACTTCGCCTCCCCCCGCTCCACCGCTGAAGCAGCCGCGTCCCCAGCCAGCCAGCCAGTCCCGTGTCCCCCACCCCCATCCCCGAGCCCTGGATGGGGCGCTGAACTGCGCCTCCCCCCCTCGTCCTCCACGTCCTCCGTCCGGGCTCTGCCTGGGGAGCCGCTCGCCATAGTCCCCTCCACTGGGCTGGAGGAACTTTCTCCTGCCTGGGACAAACTCTGAGACAAAAAGACAAACTCTGGTAGTAGGAAATGTGTGTAAGGACTGACAATTACATCTAGGTTTGTGGGGTGGCTACCTCTGGAACAAGCAGGGGTCATTTCCTGCAGGAGCGCACGGGAGTGGAGCTCCGGCAGTAAAGGGCCCAGGGGGCGGACACATGCAACAAGCCCCACCCCCTGCTCCGAGCAGCCCTCAGTCAGAGCAAGAAGCAGCCAGGTAAGTTGCAGAGCCCCCCCCCATCCCCCCAGTTCAAAACAGTCCAGTGGCACTTTTAAGACCAAGTTTTATTCAGGTACTGTCCCACCCCCCCAATAGCTAGCGATCCAAAAGAGTCCAGGGGAGCCTGAGTGGTGGGTGTTGCCTTCTGACACACTTCTGGTGATGTCAGGGGGTGTGGCATATGCAAATAAGTTATGCTAATGTTATGCTAATGAGCTCCTGCACCTCTTTTTCTACGACATGACTCCTGGGGTGTGTGGCATATGCTAATGAGTTACGCTAATGAGCTCCTGCACCACTTTTTCTACGAAATGACCCCTAAGGTTCACACCTGTCTCAAGAAGCACCTTGTAGAACTAGGGAAGCTGCAGAAGAAGGGAGACCAGCAGTGACCGGAGCATCCTTCTCTCTAAAGACAGGCTGGATTGTTTGGGGCTTTTTAGTTTGGAGAAAAGACAAGGAAGGGGGTTGTGAAGGTTCATAACAACAGACGTGGTGTGGAGGAAATGGACCGCCTCTCACAACACGAGAACTCCAAGCCACCCAAGTTAGCCGGTGGGAAATGGATTTAGGGCAGAAAAGAGAGTATTTCCCCCGGCACATGATGTCTTGTGGAACTCATTGCCCCAAGCCTATTTTCCTTTTACAGCCGGTTGCTGCCTATGGCTATTAGCCACGGTGGCTAAACGGGACCTCCGTTTTCAGAATGCAGTGTACCTCTGGAGTAGGCAGGGCTATTTTTGGGCAGGAACGCAGAGGAACGGAGTTCCGGCTGGCTCCCAAGTTGGCCACGCCCAGCAGGAACTCATTGCATAATAGGCCACACCCAACAGCAGAAACTCATTAGGATTGGCTACATTGGGGTGTGTGGCCTAACATGCAAAGGAGCTCCTGCTACAAAAAAACCTCTGGGTTTTGACAACAAGGTAAACAGAATAAGAAGCAAAAGGGGTGTGTGGCTGGATGACCACACTTCTGGTAACATGGGGGTGCGGCCTACTATGCTAATGTGCTGTGCGGTCAGGGGTGTGGCCTAATAGGCTAATGAGTGTCTGCTGTGGGGTGTGGCCTATTATGCTAATGAGTTCCTGCTGGCCTTTTTCTACAAAAAGAGCCCTGGGACTAGGTGTTGCTGGGAGGACCAGGCTTTTGCTCCCATCCCTTTTGGTGATCTGATTGGCCTCTGTGGACAGGAGGACGCGGCTGTTTGGGGCAGCGCAGTGTGGGGAGTGCTCATGCCCCACAGGGGCTTGCCTGCCTCCCGGGCATCAGTGCAGGGGAGGAGACAGCCATCCCCTCCTGGGCCCACACAGCCACATCACCCATCCAAGCCACAGCCCCTGTGGCAACAGTTGGCTTGGAGGGACCCAGCCGACGGGAGGGCCTGGCGTGCCTGGCAGGGAGCAACAAAATACCTTTGCACCAGCCCAGGAGCCTGGTCAGATCCCTGATGGTCACTGCCCTTGACTGAAAGGGAGGCTAGCTGGGCAGGCAGGAACTTGGAGATGCAGGCCAGGGAACTGTCGTCATCAAGAACCTCCGTGGTCCAAAGTGCTGATGGTTGGATACTGGGGACAGACAGCAGGGACACCGGACAGCAACAGGAAGCTGGACTGAAGAGTGAGGCCGTTCTGCCCAGGGGCTCACGCACAGTCAGGGCTGGCGACTCCGCAGAATGTATCCCTTCTGATTGGTTTCAGTTATGCCCCTCCTTTCTTCTCATCCATTGTATCCTCACCACAACCCCGCGAGGTAGGCTAGGCTGAGTGAGTGCAACTGGCCCGAGGTCGCCCAGCCGGCTGCCGTGGCAAAGGGGAGATTCTAACCTGGGTGTCCCAGATCCTAAACCAACACTGCAACCACTACATCACCCTGGCTGCTGGGCTCAGGCTTGCGGTTTTGGTGGCCCACTGGAAAAGACCCCCCAGGCCCCCAGTTCCAGAGATGCAAAGGGCACCGGTCAGCAATGTTCCCTCTAAGCTATGGAGCTCTGTGAACAAGAATTCTACTCTGTGAGCTACTGGCCTTAACGTTGTGAGCAGGAGATTTGGCTGCTGCATAAATTAGTTTGCTCTGGAACCTTCCTTCCTGAGCTAAGACAAAAAGGTGTGAGCCAGAGGCTAAAAACCTGTGAGCTAGCTCATACTAACTCAGCTTAGGGGGAACACTGCCGGTCAGCATGGATGCTGCATTGCCAGGCAGGTGGCTAACCGGCATCTCACCGGCGGATTCGATACCCTTCTTGATCTGGCTTCCAAAGTTTGAAAGACCGACTGATCCAGGAAACGGTATTTCTCTTGATCTATGCTTCTCATAAGGAGCTGTGGTGGCTCAAGTGGTTAAGACGCTGAACTGCAGGCTGTGGAAGGTCAGTAGTTCAGCAGTTCGAGACCCGAGTGTGCCGCATGACGGAGTGAGCTCCCGTCTCTAGTTCCAGCTCCTGCCAACCTAGCAGTTCGAAAGCAAGAAATTGCAAGTAGATAAATAGGGACCACTTTGGTGGGAAGGGAACAGCGTTCCGTGCGCCTCAGTGTTTAGTCATGCTGGCCCACATGACCGCGGAAACGTCTTCGGACAGTGCTGGCTCTTCGGCTTGGAAACGGAGATGAGCACCGCAACCCGAGTCGGATTCGACTGGCTTTCGAGCAAGGGAACCTTTACCTTTACCTTTATGCTTCTCATTCCCGGTGGATTTATTTTTCAAATGACTCATTGTTGTTGCCGGGCCATTTCTTTTCAAAGCAGATCAGGATCAACTGAGAAGCATGCAGCCTGCCTTACAGCCGCTGTCCTTCGGTGCCTTGGATTGTCCCTTTAAGAGATCCCTTTCAGGGCCAGGCTGCTCCTGGCGTATAATTGCCCCTTTTTCCTAACAAAGAAATCCATTATGACCCTTTCCCCCCTCGGTGGTACCTCAAAGGGAGAAGATTCTTTCACGTGGGGCTACGAGGGTTTTATCTGGGGGAGGAAGACGTTTAGGATGGGGTGGGAAGAGGAGAAGCCGGAGGAGAGATCTTAATTATGCAAAGTGTGGGGTGCCCATTAGCAAGGAGATCTCAAAGCAAAGTTAATGCCATTGTAATTGCTTAGGAGGACTCTTAGATCTTGGGGTCCCCCGTGATTTATGGGGGAGAGGCAGGGAGGACTTCAGATTCTACACCGGATATGGTAAGAGAGGGATTTTGAACTGGGAAAAGACAATTTAAAGTAAAAGACTGAACGTTTCTTTCACGGACTTGTTTCAGTTTTATTTGTTTTGGATCCCTAGCATTTGAAAAGGTGCAGGGAAGTTTTCTCGTTTCTTTTGAGGCCCTTCCTTCACCGTGTTTATTTTCAAATTACGGACAGATTAAATAATGAAGACGGCCATTAGCATGACACACTGTCTCTTTAAAGGGCTCCTCGGGATAGAGGCCGGGGCACGATCTCTTGTGTAAACATGGCTGAAATAAATGACTCCATCATCCCCTTTTTATATGGAGCCAAGGAAGAGCGAGGCGATGCATCCGGTACAAGAGGAACACAGCCTCTAATCCTGACCCCATGGAGCTGCATTCAGAGGGTCCGTGGGCCAGCTGCCTCTCTGGCACCCGCGGGAGGCTGGAAGGGCTTCGGCATTTGGGGGCTGGCTGGGCAGCTCCTTTTGTTAAGTCCGCCGCAGCAGTAACATGTTGCACCCAGTGCTCCCACTAAGCTGAGTTAGTGTGAGCTAGCTCACAGTTTTTTAGCCTCCGGCTCACACATTGTTGTCTTCGCTCAGGAGCAGACTGATTTATGCAGCAGCCAAATGGCTCGCTCACAACTTTAATGCCAGTAGCTCAGAAAGTAGAATGTTTGCTCAGAAGATTCCACAGCTTAGAGGGAGCATTGGTTGCACCGATGCTCTCCGGCTGCACATCTGGGGAAGACACAAGGCCCCCCCAGTCACATGTCCCTAACCCCCTCCCCCAGACCCTTGCTGTGCGTGAATCCTAGAACTCAGGGCAGCTTACGCTCCTTGCTAGCAACTCCTTCGTGCTTTCTGTGTGCTTGAGTGGGTCCCTGGGAGGAAACAAAAACCCCACAGGTAGAAAGACTTCCTGATGTTCCCTCTAAGATGTGGAGTCTTGTTCAATGCTCCCTCTAAGCTGTGGAGTCTTGTGAGCAAAAATTCTACTTTGTGAGCTACTGGCATTCAAGTTGTGAGCAAACAATTTGACTACTGCATAAATCAGTTTGCTCTGGAGTCATCCTTCCTGAGCTGAGACAAAAATGTATGAGCTGGAGGCTGGAAAACTGCGAGCTAGCTCACACTAACTCAGCTTAGAGGGAACACTGGTTGGGATTTGGGGGGGGGGAGCAGGAGCACGCAAGCAGTCACCGTTCCCCGCAGAGGATCCTTTTCCCGAGTGCTGAAACTTCCTCTTGAACAGTGTTCCCTCTAAGCTGAGTCAGTGTGAGCTAGATCACAGTTTTTTAGCCTCCGGACCATAAACCCAGCTAGAGGGAACCCCGGGTGGGGTTTTGGGGGGGGGGGAGCAGGAGCACGCAAGCAGTCACCTTTCCCCGCAGAGGATCCTTTTCCCCGAGTGCTGAAACTTGCTCTTGAACAGTGTTCCCTCTAAGCTGAGTCAGTGTGAGCTGGCTCACAGTTTTTTAGCCTCCGGCTCACAGATTTTCGTCTCAGCTCAGGAAGGAGGGCTCCAGAGCAAACTAGTTTTATGCCGTAGCCCAATGGCTCACTCACAACTTTAGTGCCGGTAGTTCAGAAAGCAGAATCTTTGTTCACAAGGCTCCACAGCTTAGTGGGAGCATTGCTCTTGAACCAAATCTGCACATTGGGAACCCTCAACCGGCCACACCTCCCTGACCCACGGCAGCCCCTGCATGCAAGGAACTGCTGGTTCTGATGTTGCCTTCATCCCTCCCCCCCTTTATTTTCAGTTCTGCGTTTGCCTCTTGCGCTATGGAATCTGCCCCCCAACAGACACACACTGCCGTGGAACCTGGCCTGTGCAACAGAAGCCAGCCATCTGCTTTACTGCTTGGAGGTGGCTTTTCTTCCTGAGCAAGTGACCTGCCCTCCCCCACCACTTGCTTCCCCCTCTCCTTCCTCCCCGCCCTCCCAGCCACCGTCACCACTCACCCGCTGCAGCTTTCTCTCCTGGTGAACAAGACTTTGCGGGTCTCAAAGCTGTCGCTGGACTCTACTTTTCTCCTAGGGCGGTGATGGCGAACCTTTTAGAGACCGCGTGCCCAAACTGCGACCCAAAACCCACTTATTGATCGAAAAGTGCCAACACGGCAATCTAACCTGAATCTTGAGGTTTTACTTTAGAAAAAACAACCCATACATTAATTTAAGATGATCCAAACAAAGTAAGGAAAGCAACCTCAAATGCTTTCATTTACATAAAAGAATTCGACACTTTAATGATGGTCTGGGCCTGGCTGGGGAGATGGCACGCGTGCCCACAGAGAGGGCTCTGAGTGCCACCTCTGGCTCCCGTGCCGTAGGTTCGCCACCACTGGCCTAGGGGTTGTAACTCTCCCCCCCCCACACCATATTCCGAAACTCTTCCCCCTTTCCAAGTTTTCTCCTGCCCAACTGGGGCCTTTCAGCTGAGCCCATTTCTCAGCCCCAGCCAGGCAAGCTGACCTTTATTAAGCCATTCTTCCCACCACCCCCACCTCTTCTCCTTTCTGCCGTCTCCCTTTCCTCCCTTCACCCCTTCCACGTTTCTCTGTAAGGCAGGCTGCATGCTTCTCAGTTGATCCTTATCTGCTTTGAAAAGAAATGGCCCGACAACGATGAGTCGTTTGAAAAATAAATCCATCGGGAATGAGAAGCATAAAGGTAATGGTAAAGTGTCCCTTGCTTGAAAGCCAGTCGAATCCGACTCTAGGGTTACTGTGCTCATCTCCGTTTCAAAGTCGAAGAGCCAGCGCCGTCCAAAGACGTTTCCGTGGTCATGTGGCCGGCATGACTAAACACCAAGGCGCACGGAACGCTGTGACCTTGCCAACGAAGTGGTCCCTATTTATCTACTTGCAATGTCTTGCTTTCGAACTGCTAGGTTGGCAGGAGCTGGAACTGGAGATGGGAGCTCACTCCGTCATGCGGCACACCCGGGTCTCGAACTGCTGAACTACTGACCTTCCATAGCCTGCAGTTCAGCGTCTTAACCACTTGAGCCACCACAGCTCCTTATGAGAAGCATAGATGGCCATACCGTTTCCTGGATCAGTCGGTCTTTCAAACTTTGGAAGCCAGATCAAGAAGGGTATCGAATCCGCCGGTGAGATGCCGGTTAGCCACCCGCCTGGCAATGCAGCATCCATGCTGACCGGCAGTGTTCCCCCTAAGCTGAGTTAGTATGAGCTAGCTCACAGGTTTTTAGCCTCTGGCTCACACATTTTTGTCTTAGCTCAGGAAGGAAGGTTCCAGAGCAAACTAATTTATGCAGCAGCCAAATCTCCTGCTCACAACGTTAATGCCAGTAGCTCACAGAGTAGAATTTTTGTTCACAGAGCTCCATAGCTTAGAGGGAACATTGCTGACCGGTGCCCTTTGCATCTCTGGAACTGG